CAGAAATATTTGTTTCTTCATTAATTTTCCCAGGTAGTGGACAGGACCTAAATATAGTAAGGATTTTATAATATTTATTGATGAATAAATACATGAATGAACACTGGAGCATCTGTAGGCCCTCTGACTTTTCCAGTTGCCTGAAGTCCAGCCAAGAACAACTTTACTACTTTATTTTTAAGTTTACTTTACAGGCAGTAGAGGGGGCTAGAGAGACAGTATTAAATATGTAATAGGTTATATAGGCTTAAAAGTGCCCTGGGAAACAAAGCAGGAGAAGAGGATTAAAAAACACTGGAAGGGGCTAGAGTTGTAGCTCAGTGGTAGAGTGCTTGCCTAGTTTGTGTGAGGCACTGGGTTCAATCCTCAGCACCACATAAAATAAATTAAAAAATAAAGATATTGTGTTCATCTACAACTAAAGAATTAAAAAGAAAAGAAAAACATTGGGAAAAGAGAGGTTGAAATTTTAGATGGTGGGAGTCAAGGAAAATATGAATTTGGAGTGAAGGCCTAAAGTGAGTGAGGGTTCAAGCCATGTTGATAATGGAAAGAATCTTCTAGGCAGTAGGAAAGAGCAAGTATAAAGACACTTAAAGTTAAGATCATGTCTGATGTCTTTAAAGGGAAAGCAAGTGGGCCAGTGTGTCCTGAGGACAGCAAGAGAGAAGAGCAGCAGAATGCAAAGCTGGAGAAGGAAGGGAAGGGAGATAACCAGATCATGGTTATGATTCCAAGATCATAAAAAGGACTCTAGTTCTTGCCCTGAGTAAGGAGGTAATTCACTGGAGGATTTTAAGCAAAGGAGTGACACAAACAGATCTATAATTTACAGTTTTATTCTTACTGCTGGGTTGAGGATACAGTGCCCAGGAGCAAGAGCAGAAGTAGGGACTTCAAAATAATAATAATCTGAATGAGAGATAATGGTGCTTCAGACCAGACTGCCAACAGCAGTGGTGGTAAAAGGATTGAGCTCCAGACATATATTGAAGGCAAAACCAGTAAGATTTGTTGATGAACTGAATTGAGATGTAAAAGGCATAGAAATAGAGGATTACATCATGGTTTTGGGCTTGAGGAACTGAAACAGTGGAGTTAGCATTGACCAAGAGGAGGAAGAAAGACAAAGAGGCTGAAGGTCAGGAATGTGCTGTGAGATGCATAAGTCTGAGATGGTTATCAGTCACGGCAAGTAGGCAGTTAGCTGGAGAGGTCCAGGCAGGAGACAGAAATCTGAGAATCCTAGCTTGTAGATGAATTTTAACACCACATGATTGGATAGGATCACATAGGGAGTGAATGCAGATGAAAAGGAAAGAAATCTAAGGACTGAGACCGGTGTGTCATCAAATATTTAGTGGGTAGGATGATGAACCAGTCAATAGTCTAAGGTGGAAATACTAGGAATGCAGAAGGAAAACCGTGGCATCTTGGAAGCCAAATGAAGAAACCTTTTCAAGGGAAGAGAGTTGCCCAATTGTGTCAAAGCGCTAAAGATGGCAGTTGAGAAATGACCACTGGGTTGGCAATGTAGAATGTTCTAGATTGAACTGTGTCTCCCTTGAAAAGGTATGTTGGAGTCTTAACCTCCATATCTCAGAACATGACTTTATTTGAAATAGGGTTTATACGGATGGAATCAATATGAATGGTGCCTTCAAGGGGAGCATGGTCCTGATGGAAACTTCATTTTGGAATTCTAGCTTTCAAAACTGTAGGAAAATACATTTCTTTTGTTTTAGCCATCTGTTCTGAGGCAGCCCTAACAAATGTATACATGAAGGACATGGTTGATCAGAGAAGAGCAATATAATGGAATTGAGAGTCTGATTTAAATGGGATTCCGAAGTAACAAAAGAGAGGAAGAAGACAACACGGATAGCCAAACTTCTTAAGAAGTTTTTCTATAAAAGAAAAGAGAGAAATAAGTCAGAAGGTAGATAAACAAATGGCCTAAAATGGAGTTTATTTTTATTTTTTAATGAATTATTATTTTTTTAAGTGCCAGGGATTGAACCCAGGAATTAGCTAGCACCTGCTGGACAAGTGCTTTACCATTTAGCTACATCTAGACCCTTTTATTTATTTATTTATTTATTTTGAGACAGTGTCTTGCTAAATTGCCCAGAAGGCTGGCTTGAACTTATGATCCTCCTACCTCAGCATCCTGAGTAGCTGGGATTACAGGTGTGTGCAACTGTGCCGAGCAAGGTGCTTTGTTTTTTGCTTTAAATGGGAGAAATATTAGTATGTCAAATAGTAGTAGGAATGATCCATTAGAGAAAGAAGACTTGATTTTTGCAGGACAGAGGGACAGAAGCTCAGGGCAATGCACTCATACACTGGTGGAGAAATTGTCTTTGGTTGCCTACAAAGATGGCTCATTCATGAATAACAAGAAAGGATGGAGCATAAAAGGATGGGTGCTGGGAGATGACGGTCTCCTCATATTCTCCTATTTCTCAATGAAGTAGGAAGCAAAGTCATCAAATGAAAGTGAGAATAAGGGAGGAGGTGTAGAGAGTTGGCAGTGAGGAGAAAAAGAAATAGCAATCTGGGAGTGTGGGAGAGAGGGAACTGGTTATAGTAAATGATTCTTTTTCATCTGTTATTGAGCCTGATTTGGTACTCATGAATTAAAATTTTCTCACAAATATTTATAACAAGAATTGATCTTAATTTTCTTTTTCAGGTTCTGTTGTTAATAAAAACCTCGATAATAAAAATAATAACTACCATTACCGAGTCTTGTGCCAAGTGCTGAGTAAAGCAGTTCTCCAAATCATCTCATTTAATCCTCCTAGCAACAAGGAAATCATATATTGTCCCCTTTTCGTAAAAGAGGAACTGAAGCTGAGGCTGAGGTCACAGTAAAGTGTCATGGCTAAAGTCATAAAGCTAGTAAAGCAGAGTTGAGATTCAAACCAAAGTGTATAACTCCAAAATTGATGCTCTTAAGCAGTTCTTCTAACTTTATAAAGTAGCTTTTATCTCGTTCTATATTCTGTGACAGAATTTAGGGGATTATATCTTCTTTGAAAAGCACAAAAACTTCAACAGGAGAAAGTCGCAAAAATGCAATATTCAAAGTGAAGAAATTTCAAGAGGGGCTGGGATTATAGCTCAGTGGCAGAGTGCTTGCCTAGCACATGTGAGGCGCTGGGTTCCATCCTCAGCACCACATAATAAATAAATAAATAGGAGCTGAGGTTGTGGCTCAGTGGCAGAGCACTTGCCTGGCATGTATGAAGTACTGGCTTCAATTCTCAGCACCACATATAAATAACTAAAAATCCATTGACAACTAAAAAAAAAGTTTAATAAATAAATAAAAGGCATGCTGTCCATCTACAACTACAAATTTTTTTTAAATATCTTTTTTTTTTAGCTATAGATGGACACAATACCTTTATTTTGTTTATTTATTTTTATGTGGTGCTGAGGATGGAACCCAGCGACTTGTACGTGTAAGGCAAGCACTCCACCCCAGTCCCCCCCAATTTTTTTTAATTAAAATAAAATGGCTTGTTAATGGAATAAACATATTTCCATTCACATGTAGCTATTTCTACTAAAATCTAAGCCTTAAATTTAACAAACATTCTGAGGAAAACCTGTAACCTATTACTTTCTTTTCTCAATCTCCAATCTCATTCATCACCATATTCTGTCATTTTTGTCTCCAAATATATCATGAAACTGTCTTCTTTTTTTCCCACACCATTGCGCTACAGTAGGCTGCTACTAGGTTAGTCTGGATGACTATAATAGCTTTCTGGTGACTCTTCTTAACTTTCTTTCTTATACCACTTGTACCCATTCTATACACAGCAGCTGGAGGTATCTATTTATTTTCAAAATGTTTGGAGCGTTTACTGGTTTATAACACAATGCTGCCCAGCATTGGATTAATTGTTAAATATTCAGAAGCACATAGTGCTTACCCATGGAAACCATCTCTCTCTGTTTTTTTTTTTTTTTTTTTGTCCTGGGATTGAACCCAAGGGCATTTTACCTCTGAACTACATCCCTATCACTATTTTTTTTTTCCTTTTTTTTGAGGCAGGTTGTAGTAAGCAACACTAAACTTTGAACTTGACATCTTCCTTCCTCAGCCTCCTGAGTAGCTGGGGATTAAAGGAGTGTGCTACCATGCCCCATGGAAACTATACTTTTTGAAAAACAGAGTCTCAGATACAACATAGGATCCTACAAAAAGCCAAGTGGTTTTTAATTTGCCTAGGCTCCTCTTTTTCCTTTATGTGTCTCCAGTGAAATGAAATTATTTTCCCAAACCAAGGTTCTCAATAGAAAAACTAATATGAAACCATTAATTCCAGTGGTTTCCATAATAGATCACACCAAGCCTCATTTTCTAGGGCATTCTCTAGCAAAGCATCTGAGATATGTGCATCATGAGCACCCCAACATATTTACTCTCTCTGACTAATGTTTTCTCTCTAGGGCCTAGGATGTGAGTGGCTGACATTAAATGCTCAATAAATACTTGTTGAACATTAAATGTGTTGAACATTGTTAAATGAATATAATATTTGGTATTCTGTAGGAAAAATCTAAAATTTTTGAACAATAAACTAGATGCTTCAAAAGAGTGCTGCCATATTTAAATTTTGTAATGGTGATTTTCTTAAAGTGTGATTTTTAAGCTCTCTAAGGTACTGGTTTTCTTTTTCATTCTTTTTTTTTTTTTAATTCTTGTATGGGAATTGAACCAGGGGGCACTTAACCACTGAGTCACATCCCCAGCCCTTTTTATTTTTTATTTAGAGATGGGATCTCTAATAAGGTTGAGTTGCTTAGCGCCTCACTAAATTGCAGGGGCTGGCTTTGAACTTGTCATCCTCCTGCCTCAGCTTCCCAAGCTACTGGGATTACAGGCATAAACCATTGGGCCTGGCTCTTTTCCATTTCCAATTCTTTTCACTGATTATACAATTTTCCCTTTTATCTCAAATGCCAATTTTCTCAAAGTTTACCTTGTAGCATGACCAAAGACTGTCGAAGCCGGCTGTTTTCTTTCCGGGTGTTTGTTAGTTTTTCTTTCAGGTTTTTTATCTTGGCACATAATTCCTCCTTTGATAATTCTGCTAAGGGCGCTTCATCCTCACTGGAGCTCTCCCCAGGCAGAAAGGCATTTCCCGAATATGGATCTCTCTAAAAGGCAAGGCAGGCACAAGAAGAGAAGTTTCACAGCACCTTTAACCGTTTATCCTATGTTCTGTATTCTGAAGGGGTTCATTCAAGACTACACACTCCTGTTCCCACAGGCACTTCCTGCAACCCATGCAGCCCAGCAGCTTGAAACCCCACCATTCAGAGGAACTCAGGATGAGGGGAAAACAGTGCCTCCGACAGCGTGGAAATCAGGATTCTAACTTTCTGTGTCATTTCCGTGAAAAATACAAAGGAGAATAGTCATGTAACAGACTATAACCAATAAGAGCACCAGGTCTCCTCTGAGATGTGGCCTGTTTTGAGCCAAATACTTCACAATCTGAACCTCACTTCCTTCCTCTGTGAATACATAGATAAAAATCATGCAATAAAATAGGAAAATCTAGCAAGATGGCAGGATAAACAATAGTTACTGCTTCTACATACCAGCTACAATTAGCACTGTAGTGCTATAAGAACACTATTTATTAAGTCAGGACAGTAGTTACTGTGGGGACCAGTGATGGAAAGTAGCAGAGAGGAGCATGAGGAGATCTTTGAGGTACATTTCTGGCATGGATGTGTTCAGTTTGTGATAATTCATTAATTTCTGGCATGGATGTGTTTAGTTTGTGATAATTCATTAAGCTGTACATTTCTGACATGTGCAACCTTCTATATGTATATTGTACTTCCATAAAATGTTTTAAAAAATATCTCCAAGAAGGGGCTGGGGTTATGGCTCAGTGGTAGAGTGCTTGCCTAGCATGTGTGAGGTCCTGGGCTTGATCCTCAGTACCACATAAATAGTACCTTTTGACAGTTTCCAATCCATATAGCCTAAATATTTCACATTTATGTTTAATTCTTGTTTTGAGAATAAGTGTCATTAATGTATAGCAAAAAAGTGAAAGATCTCTATGAAGAAAGTAAACAAGCTGTACTAAAAGATGATGTCAATGTAGACAGTCATCATGTTCAGAGATAAAATATTTCATTTAAAAAGTAGTAATTATCCCTAAATTGAACTTTAAAGTTAATGCAATTTCAATAAAAATTTAAAAAACCTGAAACTTAATAAATTGATTCTGAAATTTATCTAAAAGAACAAAAGCCTAAGAATATCCAAAGAAATCTTGAAGAAGCATATGAAATGAAACAGGATCTTTCTTTACAAATGCAAGGGCTTACTAAAAATATAGAGCAATTAAAACAGCATGGCATTGGGATAGAAACAGACAGCATGACCAAAAATAGAGAGGCCCAAAATAGATGCATGCACATGAGAAACTTCTTATAGGACAGAGTGGCATAGCAACTCACCCGTTGTTACGGTTTGGATAAGAGGTGTCCCTCAAGAGGTGTCCCGCAAAAGCTCATATGTGAGACAATGCAAGAAGGTTCAGAGAAGAATGATTGGGTTACCAGAGCATTGACCCAATCAGTGGATTAATCCTCTGATGTGATTAACTGGGTGGATAACTGAAGGTGGATAGAGTATGGCCAGATGAGGTGCCATTAGGGGTGTGGCTTTAGGGTATATATCTTGTATCTGGTGAGTGGAGGCCCCTTTCTGTTTTCTGATCATCATATGAACCACTTCCCTCTGCCACACTCTTTCACCATGATGTTCAGCCTCACCTTGAGCCAGAGGAATAGAGTCTGCTGTCTATGATTGTGACCTCTGATACTGTGAGCCCCCAAACAAACTTTTTTTCCTCTACAGTTGTGCTGGTTGGGTCTTTAAATAACAGCGATGAAAAAAGCTGACTAAAACACCCAAGAAAATAGGACTTGCTCAATACACGATGCTGGAAATACTGGTTGACCTTTAAGAGAAAAGGTAAAGAAAATGCATTCCTACCTTGGTGTATACACACACACACACACACACACACACACACACACACACACCACTTCAGATGGATTAAGAATTTAAACATTAAAAGTGAAAATTTAAGTTGTACAAGAAAATATACTCTAAGATTTCATCTCACTTCCGTCAGAATGATAGCTATTAAGAATACAAACAACAATAAGTGCTGGTGAGGATGTGGGGGAAAAGGATTGCTGGTCGGACTGCAAACTGATGCAGCCAATATGGAAAGCAGTATGGAGATTCCTTGGAAAACCACCATTTACCCAACTATCCCTCTCTTTGGTCTATACCAAAGGACTTAAAAATAACATATTACAGGGACACAGCCACATCAATGTTTATAGCAGCACAATTCACAATAACTAAATCATGGAACCAACCTAGATAACTTTCAGTAGATGAATGGATTAAAAAAATGTGGTATTATACACAATGGAATATTACTGAGCAATAAGAATAAATAATGGCATTTACAGATAAATGGATGGAGTTGGAGAATAGAATACTAAGTGAAGTTAGCCAATCCCCCAAAAATAAATGCTGAATGTTTTCCCTGATATAAAGAGGCTGATTAATAGTGGGGTTGGGAGGGGCAGCTTATAAAGTTAAAGAATAAATAAGCTGGGTATGGTAGCATATACCTGTACTCCTATTTTCTGGGAGGCTGAGGCAAGAGGACTGTTTGAGCCCAGGAGATGAAGGCCACTGGGAAATAGTGAAATCCCAGCTCAAAATAAATAAAATGATATATTTTAACACATATATTATACATATTATTGAATAAATATTTGTGTGTAATGAGACAATATGTGTGCACGTATTTCACTTTTATAAATTTTTTAAAAGTGGGATAGATGTAAAAAAGAATGACTTTATGACTTTTTCTGGTAAATGGATGGAGCTAGAGATTATCATGCTAAGTGCAATCCAAAAAAACAGAAGGCCAAATGTTCTCTCTGATATGTAGATACTAACACACAGTAAGTAGGAGTGGGGGAGAATAGAAGTTCATTGAATTAGACAAAGGGGAATGAAGGAAAGGGAGCAGGGAGGGAATAGGAAAGACAGTAGAATTAATCAGACATAACTTTCCTATGTTCATATAGGAATATATCACCTGTGAACTTCCACATCATATACGACCACAAGAATGGGATCCTAGTTAGAGTAAGTTATATTACACATATGTATAATGTATCAAAATACACTCTACTGTCATGTTATCTGAAAAGAACAATTAAAAATTTATTAAAAAAAGAAAATTTTCAAAAAAGTGGGCTAGGGACACAACTTAGTGACAGAGCACTTGTCAGCATGAATGAGGCCCAATCCCCAGCAGTGTAAAAAATAAGTCTTACAAGCAAGTAAATTATATTAAGATGGGCAGCAGTTTTATTGGAGTTCATTATTCTTATTCTTTTTCTTTTGTTGTTATTATTGCATGTTCTGGGAATGGAGCCAAGGGCCTGTACATGCTAGGCAAGTGCTCTATCACTGAGATACATCCCCAGTTCTCATTAATTTCAAAATTAAAAAATAAAATAACTTAGGACAATATTTAGAGTAAAACCTAGCATATTGCATTGCACATAATAGACATCCAATAATCTTATTGTGCTGGAAGTCAATATATTTTCCTTCTTTTTAGTTCACCCCCATTCTGCATTTCTTTCCCTAATCTCCATTCATAGCCTCACTGTCAAGACTATGGCATGAAACCAATTGGGGGCTTATTGCACCAGAGAAAAGAGAGAGCAGATTGGCCTAGAAGGAAACATTCACATTTACCTTTTTATTTTAAAAATAGTTTTTAATGTCAATAACAAGACTTAATTTTAAGACTCTGGAGTTGTAAAATCCAAGCTGTGTTGATACTTAACCTTTTTTTTTTCTCTACCAAGCTGGAGAATTGTAGTACTAACTGGAATTTGTAAATATCAAAACCCAGAAGCCTAAAGCTTTAAAAAAAAACAAAACAGGAGAGTAATAGAAATAAAGGTTATACCATAAAGAAAGTTCCTGCTGCTGAGAAGAAAAAGACATTCTGGTGCTGGAAGAGGCTGGGAAATAAAGAATTGAAATGGCAGGGAATTAGGTTCAAATGTCTGTACTCTACTGTCCCCCTGCCCTTTAGGGGATTTAAGAAGTTGGGGCACATCATATAAACAATCAGATAACGGGGGCAATCCCAGAGCACCAGGGATAGCTCCTTGCTTCTTTGTGCAGTCTAAGCTCCTTGAAGAGGCTCCATGTCCAGTGTAACTTCAGGGTATCATGGTGATTTTCTGGGCCCACAGATCAGAAATAGTCAATTTGGTTTTCAGACAAATGGACAGAGATAGTACCCCAGACTCCCTGGTATGAATGCAAAGCAGCTAGAGAATCCAAAGGATCCTTACGTCCTGGTCAGGAGATAGGAAAGTACTAGGGAAACTAATGAAACAAATAGCTTAGAGTGTAGATCAGAGGCCACATGGTACCAGAATCTCATGGAAGGTGGTAGTGGGTACCAGGATGGCAAACTTCAGCAGCAGGTACCAATAAGATCCCCAGTGGACCTGGAAGAACTAGCTCAACAGCAACACTTAACGACACCTAGGAACCGGAGATGAAAGTAAGAATCTTAATAGAAGACCGAGTGTACATGTTACGTAAGACTTCTAAAAACTTGAATCATGTCTTTAAGAAAAAAAGTAGAAAGCAGAAGAGGTTAAAAATATAAGATTGATTGAAGCTTAAATCCTGAAGTGATTGAGATAATGACTAAAAGGGACTTTTAAAAAAAGACTGGAATACAAATTGTAGGATGATGGTGATGATGATGATGATGATTCAGGAATGGAGAATTAAAAGCCAGATGAGATCAGTTAGAGAAAAATTCATTTGCACTTTTGTATGATTTATGATATGTATATTCAATCTTTATTTTATAAACAAATATCAGTATATGTATATATATTTTATTGTTATACAAATGCTTGCATGTGTATATGCACCTATAATGTATATATAACAGTAGTGGATATATATGTAATAGTAATAATGTAAATTACTATTCTATGTGGGCAAATAGCTAATGTACTCACACAAGATATATAAATCCTAAGGGAAAAGGTGATGTATTTAATTAAATATAAATGAAAGATTTTTTAAAAATTGAAGGATGCTTATTGAGACCCTAATTCTATGCATGATAATTGGAAAAAAATAGAATGTATGGTCTTATTCTCGCCAGCAAGTATTAGAAAGAAAAGGAATCTGGTCAAAGTAAATCCATTTGTAATTACCAATGGAAGGAAGAAGATAACAGTTAATACACAAATAGAAACTGGGAGAAGATATTTGTAATATCTCAAACCTAAATCACAGTAGGCTAATTTCTACAATAGATAAAGTATTTATATTAAGAGTGGGATAAAAGACCTACCAGAATAGACCAAGAAACCCAAAAGAAAAGACAAAAACCCAACAGAAAAAATGGACAGTGGTAGAAACTACTAGCTATATGTATCTTTTGTCCCATTTTTTCTCTGGTAACAGGGTTCTACCTGACTGTTAGCTAAAGACTTCATTTCCCCGACTCACGTGCAGTGCGACTCACTGCAACTGTCTATGCTCCTGCCAATAGAATAGGAGCAGAAGCTGTGTGCGCCACTACTGGTCCATAACTCTAAGAAAACGAGCATGTCTTCAGATACTTCACTAGCTAGCCTGTAAGTACACAAAAAAACTCTTTGAGTGCAGCAGATAGTCTAAATTAACTGAGTTTGGCAATGTTAAATCTTCAAGCGTTTGGGGAAAATTTTTACTTCCATATCTAAATAGCAGGAGGTAAGACTGTAACCTCAAGGCTTTCTCAGGAGCTTGTTCTCCAGCAGACAGTGGTATCCAGCCCACTAAAAAGCTTTAAATTCAAGGTGTTACCTTCAAGATTTTTTGTTTGTTTGTTTCAGATGGCTGTGAGGTAACTGTTATAAATTGGAAAGAAAAGACGAGAAAAGATGCCTTAAAAGAAGAGAGTTTTCAGGCCTAAAATCTATGATCAAATAAGAGCTCTGGCTATAGTGAATTGCAATGGAATCAAATAGAAATATGTAGTCTGGAAAGCTATGGTTTTTGAGGAAAAAAATTGCTGACAAAACCACACAACTGGCTTATAAGAGCAAGTGACTATTTTACCCCTCAAGCAACCCTGAGTCCCCCCAAATCTGCACTAGCAAATTATAACAATATTTTCACTGATTGATTTGGTAAAAATTAGAAAAATGGATATTAATGCTAAATGTTAGTAGGGAAATATAAATATAGGAACCCATTATGCATTACTGCTGGGCATCTAGACTGATGTGAACATTCTGAAAAGCAATTTTGTAATATTTAGTCAAATGAACTAGAAATACATATGTAAACCATAAATCATCCTCCTATGTATTTACATCATAGAAATTTTCACAGTCACTTTTAAAAATATTTTTTTAACTTGGTGATGGACCTTTATTTCATTTATTTACTTATATGTGGTGATCAGAATCTAACCCAGTGCCTCACACATACTAGGCAAGTGCTCTACCACTAAGCCACAACCCCAGCCCCACACTGTCTCTTAAAGGGACATGTATGAGGATTAGTTTATTGATGTTAGAGGACATTTAAGTGGTCATCATTAGAGAAAAAGATAAATAAAAAATGGTACCATGCAGCAGTTACATGCAATGGATGAGATGTACATGTAGCAATATAGATAGGTGCTAAGAATAGTGCTATGAAAAGAACCTAAGTGTTCATCAATGGATGAATGGATAAAGTATATATGTATGTTAATATACGGCACATACATATATACACATGTGTATTTGTATATATATCCATAGTTTATTTACAAACATGTACCATACTTAAGTATGTGCCATAATTTATATACATAATGCATGTATATATGTATATGCATGTATATATGTATGTACACAGTGTATATGTATATGTATACAATTCAGACTTTAAAAATAACGAGATGGGGGGCTGGGGTTGTGACTCAGTGGTAGAGTGCATACCTAGCATATGTGAGGCATTGGGTTCAATTCTCAGTACCACATATAAATAACTGAATGAAATAAAGGTCCATCAACATCTAAAAAATTTTTTAAAAAAATGAGATCTTGCTATTTGCCACAATGTATATGAGCCTGAAGGACATTATGTTAAGTGAAATAAGCCAGATGCAGAAATAAAAAAAATACTACATGGTATTTGCTTACATCTGCAGTCTAAAACAAAACAAACAAGCAAACAAAACCAATTATACAGTGACAGAGAAGAAGCAGTGGTCCCCTCAGTGGTAGGCAGGATAGAGGTTAGGAAATTAGGAGATTAGACCAGAGGATACAAATCTGAACAAGTCTAGAGATCTAATGTATAACAAGAGGACTATAGGTAACAAAACTACTATATTTGAGATTCATGCTAAATGAGCTGATTTTAGTTCTTTTTGCCCTAAAAACAAACTAAAATGAATAATTCTATGAAATGATGGTAGTGTTAATTCGTTTTACTCAGTAACCTTTTTACTTTTTAGATGTATCCCATAACATGTTGTATACCTGAAATTTTATATATAAAAATTATTTTTATAAAGCAATTCTGATGGAAAAATCAGAAACAAATTAAGATTTATAATATGATATCAATGTACTACTAAATGGTGTATATATAAGTTTATATAGTGCATTGTAGATCACATTAAGAAAAAGATTAAAAAGAACCCCATTCATCACAGGGGACTAATAAAGATTGGTGCATACAGACGGTGGAATAGAGCTATCTATTAATGGAAAGAGCTTCAAAATATATTAAGTAAAAAAGCAAAGTACAAAGCAGTATATATAGTATGTTCCTTTTTTGACCCAAAGAGAGATAAGAATATCTATTTATATTTGCTTTATTTGAACAAAGAAATGCAAGAAGGATAAACAAGAAAGCAATAAATGTGGTTGCTGTAGTGGGGATGGGGTTCGGGCATGAACAGAGTGAATAGGAGACAGGAACATAAGGATTTTTCATTGTTTGTCTTTAAAAATATTTTAAACCATAATAATGTAGTATTTATTTAACAAATTAAATAAAAATATATGAATATAAAACACTGCATGTATTACAAAGTCATACACAATATTTCATGTATTATAGTGACAAAAAAATACAGAATAAGCACATTGATTGACTGTCCAAACTATAGGAGGGGAATGGGATTATGAGGATGGGCCCCCAATTGAAATCTAAAAAGAAAAGCAAATAGTGTGTCTTAAAGAAGAGATATTCCAGCTAGGTACATTGGCGCAGGAGCCTGAGGCAGGAGAGTCACAAGTTTGAGGACAGCCTCAGGAATTTAGTGAGACTCTGTCCTAAAATAGAAGGAGGAAGAGGAGAAGGGAGAGGGGAAGGGGGAGGGAGAAAGGGAGGAGGAGAAGAATAGGGAAGAGGAAGAAGGAAGAGAAGGAAAGGAAGGGGAAGAAGAAGAAAAAGTTCTAGGGATATAGCTCAGTGGTAGAGCATCCCTGGGTTCAATCTCTAGTTCAATCGGGCGTGGGGGGGGGCGGCAGTGGGATGCGGGGAGAAAGAGGTATTCCAATTTCTCCAATATATTTGTGAAAGGAAAAAAATGTTTTCTGACAGTTTGCTGACTTTTAATTTCCCAGAATTTTAAGCAAAGTTTTAACAATGGCATATTTGGCCATAATTAAACAGAGGCAGGCTTATTGATTATCAAATGTTTCTAACTCTTCCTATCTAAGATTGAGAGGAGAACATGACACTACATTCCCTTGACTGAATACAGAATTTAAAGGAAGAAAAAATTAGTAGAACAGAAGAAAGAACTGAGAAATTATGGAATTGTGGTTGAGCTACTTAATAAAATTGAATCAAGGTAAGAGAGAACCAACCTGTCCTTTTTCCATGTCACTATTTGGATTTTCTGAGTCCATTGTCTCTGTCCTTTTCCTCTTTCCTTTTCTAAAAGCTTGGATATTGGTAATTTCATCTGTCTGCAAGATCTTCTGCATTTTCTCAATTAGTTATCAAAGATTTTCTGAAACTGTAGGAGGAGGGAATGCCCATGTAGACGTTGCTACTCTGGATGAGGCCCCAAAGTTAATGATTTTCCTTAAAAACAAAAACAAAAACAAAAATATGTTTACAACTCTGCTTCACGATGGCATTACTCCCTCAGGCAAACTATTACTAAATGCTTCCTAGAGTTTTTTCTTTCACTGACCAATTAGTACACAGTTTCATTTGATTCAGAAGTTCAATTTCATTATCATCACAAGGATGTTCATGGTATGATTTGCAGAAAGCTGACACAAAATCAAATAGTGTAAACATTTTTTCATTTTTGTAACTTTTTATCAGACAAAAAGTCTAAAAATGAGAAGTCTAAAATATTATAAACATTATAAATTTATATAAATAGTATCTCAGAGACAGCTGAAGTTATATATTAACAGCAGAACTCACCAGGACCAAAGACCTAAATATTCCAGGGAGAACAATAAAAATTACTTAGAAGTTTTTTTTTTTTTTTTT